CCACTGGTGGATGAATGGATAAAGAAGATGTGGTATACATCTACAACGGAGTATTACTCGGCAACTAAAGAATGAAATTTTGCCATTTGCAACTACATGGATGGAACTAGAAGGTATTATCCTAAGCAAAATTAGAGAAAGACAAACATCATATGACTTCATTCATATGAGGACTTTAAGATACAAAACAGATGAACATAAGGGAAGGGAAAGGAAGTAAAAATAATATAAAAATGGGGAGGGGGACAAAAACATTAGAGCCTCTTAAATATGGAGAACAAACAGAGGGTTACAGGAAGGGTTGTGGGAGGAGGGATGGGCTAAATGGGTAAGGGGCATTAAGGAATCTACTCCTGAAATCATTGTTGCACTACATGCTAACTTGAATGTAAATTGAAAAAATAAATACGGGCACCTGGGTGGCTTAGTCGGTTAAGCGTCCAACTTCGGCTCAGGTCATGATCTCACGACTCGTGAGTTCGAGCCCCATGTCAGGCTCTGCTGACACCTCAGAGTTTGGAGCCTGCTTTGGATTCTGTGTCTCCCTCTCCCTGCCCCTCCCCTCTTCGTTCTTTGTCTCTCTCAAAATTAATTAATACTACTCAAAATTAATTAATACTAATTGGTATCCAACCTGTTAGAAATGCTAAAATGTTACAAAGGCAAACTGAATTCCAAAATGTATCTTACTTGTAAGAAGTATATAAACATTTGTTTCTGCCTCTCATAATATATATTCCATAATACTTGCTAAAATGGTAGAAAAAGCAAAAACCATTTTATTTCCTTACTAAAAACTCCAAGATTTTTTCTATTCCCCAAATTCCTAAATGTAAATTCCCTAAATTTACATTTATATCTAAGACAAATATTCTTTGCTTAATGAGCACTTTTAGGTCAATTCTTCCCTAAAATTCTCTACAAATTTAGCCACCTGAAATTAGGTTCTCTCATCAATTGATTTTTATTCAAATTAAAATCCTTATTTTTGGCCATAATGTTTAAATATTAATCTTGATTATGAGGGTAATAAGGCACACACAAGGCATCTAGAAGAAAAAAGTCTGAACTGACTTAGAAACAAGAATGACTAAAAACCAGACATACCTTCAATAACACAAAAGTACATATGCAGATTTATTACTTATAATATTTCTAATTACAAAATAGTGGAAACTACCTAAATGTTCAAATATGGGCGAATGGTTGAAAAAACTATGGTATATACAGAGTAGAGTACTATCTAGCTGTTAAAAGGGGAAAAAAAAAAAAAAAGAGGATCTCTATGAACTGATACAGAGTGAGTTGCAGGAGATACTGCTAACTGAAAAAAAGCCAAGTGCAAAAGAGCACTTATAGTATGCTACCTATTGCTTAAGAAAGGAGAAACAAGAAAACATACATGTATCTCTCTTATTTTTATTAAACAATGCATGAAGTTGGTTCCTACATGGGGCAAGGAGGGAGGAACTTAGAAGGGATTCAGAAGAGTAATACTTCTGAGTATACATTTTTGTGCAGATAATGTTCTAAATATCCAAAATATTAAATTAACAAGGATGGGAAGGCAGAGGAAATGCAAAACACACAAAGCTAAAAAAACTAGAACCTATGAACCCAACTACATTTCAAATGAATAACAAAACCATGGGAAGAGGGAGAGAAACCAGGGTGAGTTTCCAACTAATCCAAGTAATTTACAAACACAGCAGAGTGGAATGGGGGGGGGGGCGGGCAGTGGGGAGAAAAAAAACTACATACAAATTCTAAACCCTTTCCAGGATGTGTAGTGAGAGTGTAACAACTCTGAAACTATTTTGGACTTACTACAGGATTGAGCAAATGAGTCAAAGCCTTGCTATTGCTGGCAGACAGGGTCTTGCTACAGAAGAAAGATACAAATATGGTAGGGAGGAAAACAAGAAACAACATAGTGAGAATAGACTGAAAATTAGAAGTATCAGGATAGCCTAATGATTTCTAAAATAAGTATGTGTACATGCCTTTGTGTATCAGTGGTTCTCAACTGGGGGAGATTTTGCCCTCCCCCGCCAAGAGGAGAGTTGGCAATGTCTGGAGACATTTTTATTGTGGCATTTAGTAGAGGCATCCTTGGGTAGAGGCCAAGGATGTTGCTAAACAACCAGCAGTGTACAGGACAGATCCCACACCAAGGAATTATTCAGCCCAACACGTTAACAATGCCAAGAGTGAGAAACCTTAATACACATGTGTACCAAGGTACCTGTATATGTGTTTACAAATACATATTTCTTGGTTCTGTCTACTTTAAGGACCAAGAAGCAAACACCCCAGTAGCAGTAAGTATACTTAGTACCCATATCTTGATGTCTAATACCATTCTCCACTAAGAGAAACCAAGGCTTATTGGAGCAATGACTGATTCTAGGATTAATGCAGGATGGGTGCACAATAAGCCTGGAACACCTTGTGATGCTAGAAAGTAAGAAAGTGACCACAGACAGGGCCATATATAAGAGCCAACTGAAGGGGCTCCTATGGAAGTCTGGAATATCCAAACAGCAAAAGTATAAGAAAAGTAATGAATGATAAGAGCTACTGAAAATTTAGAGGAGTTCATACCAATAATGAATGAACAAGTAAATAAAAAGGAGTAGAAGAAAAGTCCCTTGATTACAGTAAAATGCAGAGTGATGACTAGTAAATGTGGAATGAGTGGTTGTGTAAAGAATATCATCACTTTGCAACCACTATAGTAAAGAATGGTTCAGGCAAGAACTATCCATGCATGTTAAATCTAGTGGGGGAATATGTGATGGAAATAAGAATGTTTTGCATGGTCTGCTTATATTTATGGAAAAGTAAATAATAGTAACTATACACTATACAGTGGAGAAATCAGGCATCTTGACTAAGGGATCAAAATTAGCATCACTACAGAGGGGCAGATAGACATGATGCGTCTCTAGACATGATATCCTAAAAAGACAAATTACTTATGTAGTTTTCTGGCCAAGAATATATACCCTGAATCTAATCATGAAGAAACATTAGATACAAAATGAGAAACACGCTATTAAAAAAACCCAAAAAACAAAAACTATTCTTCAAAACTATTAACGTCCTCAACAACAAAGAAAGGTTGAGGAAATGTTCCAGATTAAATAAGACTAAAGAGTGGGGCACCTGGGTGGCTCAGTCAGTTAAGCATCTGACTTCGGCTCAAGTCATGATCTCACAGTCCATGAGTTCGAGACCCGCATCGGGCTCTGTGCTGACAGCTCA